CCCTAACTCCTACATGGTGGAGGGTGAGAGCCATTGTGTGGATCTCAACAGACATGTAGTCCTGAGAAAGAACTTTGGGACTCAGGGAGGGGCTGGCTAAGGGAAGTATGAATTCTTTTAAGGGAGAATCACTGGAAGTCCTGCCTCCAGGTCATTGTTACAGAACCTGACGCCAGGTGAGCTGGGGAGTGCGGGAAGGCTTGGAATCTGACCTGTTAGAGCTAACAGAGAGGAAAGATTTACCAGCTGTCTGAATCTCCTAGCTCATGGAATAAGCCAGTGCACTGCCGTGAGAGCCACAGTTAGGCTAGGTCCCCTGGGCATGTCCTTCTGAGTCTCAGCATGGACAGCAAAGCTGCACAGGTTCCCAGGACCTTGACCAAGTGTTCTGATGTGCTTGTGAGACTTCACAGAACGGTTAGTACCCCCAAGGGGGAACAGAGGACTCGGGTGCTCCCAATGACTCTGTGTCCTAAGGGATTAAGTGTAGCAAATTCTCTCCTGCAGGTGAACAGTAACAGAAGCTGCTGATCTGGACAGCTGTCCTCTCCCAGTGTCAGGTTCTTGTTCACAGTTAAGGCTTCTTTACAGACACTGCAATGTTCACTTACAATGTGTGCTCTACTGGGAAACTGAGGCACAAGAAACGCAGGAGCGCTTCCATCTGGGGTTTTTCCACTGCACTGTAAGTCTGTATATAAGGCTGCTCTCTCTCTCTGCAACAAAGGACACACACATTCTCTTAGCAAACGACCAGACATCTTGTCAATCATTTACATCTCCAGGCTTTCACCCAATCCATTAGACTTGCTCGTGATGTAGGCACCACATGTTAGAACTGGTCATTAAACAGCAAGACAAAATGATTTTGTTTGGAGCTCGCCTGTACCCCATACCTTTCACGTTTCTCCATCATCCTGAGACTCATCCTTTGCCTTCGGGTCCCCTTGTCTCATGGCAGTCACCATCAAACACGTGGCAAGATTGGCTCATGTAATGGTCCCATGTGAGCAGTGAGCTGAGTACCAGGCCTGCTCCTGACCTCAAGTGTGAGATATCTATACAAATATCAAGTCCCGAGGACGGGCTATGGGTGCTTCTCAGGGAAACTCAATGGGAAGTGTCATTATGTCCTATCTGTAGCACAGCCTAGAACAATAAACTTTGGAGGGCACTGGCTTAGTTTGTGCAGCAGAGGTCAATGCACCTGGAGAAACAGAGCACCCTGTGCTTCCTGCAGGCAATGCTTCAATGAAGACCAGGAGAGACAGTGGACATCTGTCTCCAGGTCCTAGGTCTGTAACATCAGCTCTGCAGCTCAGCTCACACATGACGAAGACTGTTTCTCTACACAGCACAGGAGACCACCATCTCTGAACACTCGGGTCCTCCTGCAGCTGCCATGAGTCACCTTCTGCATGATTCTCCAAGGGGCTGGATCTGGGGTGGGATTGACAGAGAACAACAGTGCTTGAAGGAGACCTTTGCAAGCATCAGAACTCCCACAGGGAGCATCTTCTCTCTGTTGTCTGCTTAGGACTGTTACCCAAGGCCAAAGGGACAATGGTGTCCTTAAACATGAATCTGAGAGTCATAACACAACCTCCCTCTAGAGGATAAATGGTCAAAGCCTCTCAGAAGGTGACAGGCTGAAGCTGTAAAAGGGTAAAAGGATTCTCCCTCGTTGTTATAACTGACATAGGAACCTATGAGTGTGAAACTTGGACCCCACTTTATGCCATCTGAAGTGACTCATTCACTCTGAACATTACCTACGAGTAGTTTCTGTTTCATCATGGCCATTCCTACTTAAATGCAGAGCCAGGATACTTGGTCCCCCCTTGGGTTGGTGACACAGACCCACCATACATATACCTAGGCTGGCCAGGGCATCCTGGCCTAGCCCAAGGATAGCAGACAGGCTGTGCATTGAGCTATAATGGGCTGGAGGGACTTGTCCTTCCTATACAGGCTCAGGGTGATGGAGACCGGGGACATCTCAGACTCAGGATCAGTGCACACAAGTGAATAGTGGTGATATTTGTGCATTGTGCTAGAGGCAGATCAGGGCTTGTGTATAC